CCTGGTGACCTCTCAGAGAAGAGAACCTTCTCTACTTCCATGCTGAAAGTGAGCAGAGGGACAATGAGACCCACCTTGGTGCCCATTCTGAGCAGACCTGGGGAGACACCTGGTTGACCTCTCAGAGAAGACAACCTTCTCCACAGAGATGCTGAAGAGGAGCAGCTCCTTCAGAAACAGGCAACCATGGAGGCCTATCCTGCTCACCTGCCTGCCACCTTTACTGCCATTACAGTTCCAAGTGCAAGTTCCCTTCCGTGGGCATCTCGCCCTGTGCTCTGCTCGGGCACCAATGGCTTGTGTCTCAACACACGTCTTCCGTGCTTTGCTTTTCCCAGGACTTTCTGGACAGCACGCAGTGGGTGTGTATGTGTGTGTGTGTGTATGGATGTGTGTGTTCCACACTCGAGCTATCCAGTGGGACTCTCTTGGGAGCTGAGGCTGGAAACCAATGAACTCACTGAACACTTATGGGTTTCCCAATTCTATGCAGTGAGGAAACAGGAAGGGGGAGGGAATTAAGGAGAAAAGGGAAGGTTCCGGGTTGAAATGTCCCTGCAGTGCAATCAGTGTGCTCACTCTGACAAGAGAGAAAGGTGTCAGAGAGACTGGCCAGATGTCAGAGCGTCAGGAAACAGAGCGAAGGAGAACAGGCTGACGGAGGCGAGCCCGGTGTGGTGGGGTAAGCCAGTCCCCTTTATTCTCTGGTCCTCGAAATGTCGAGTCACCCATGTGTATTTTTCTGCTTCTGGGGCTGATGCAGGGGGTCCATGCTCCATGTCAGTGAGGACCTGCAGGTGGGAGATGGGAGTCACTGAAGTAAGGATGCCCAACTGAGGGAGGCCATTGGGTGCAGAGCTTAAGGTCTGAATTAGCCCCAGCAATTAGCCGGCTTGCGTTTCGAGCTGGCTGAGTTCCCCACGCAAGCCTGAGCGTGTGAGAAATGGAAGCCAGGTTGGAGTCACTCCAAAGCCTTGGATGCATTAGGAATTGGCCCGTGCACATAGTCGTCCATGGCGGGGGAACGGTGGTCCCCTGATCCCGGATAGATATTCTGCCGACAGTTGCTCTGTCTCAAAGCTGCTTGCAAACAAGTGCAGAGCTGGCAGCCAGCGTGGCTTAGAGTTCTCATTGGTGACCACAGCATTTCGTGCTGTGTGTCGCCCTGAGCACAGTGATTGCAACCCCCAGTCGGCAGCGAGGTCGAAACCCAGACTCATCCAAGGGTTGCCCGCAGACCGGCAGCAGCTGGGTCTCAGATCCCACTCAGACCCGCAGAGTCGGGGTCTGCATTCGAGCAGCCTCCCAGGTGGTTCTCGTGTGCGTTGAATTGGAGCCATTCTGTTCCGACAGAGCCGAGCATCTTCATTCCAGCCACAGCTATATAAAGCTTGAATCTATGAAAAGAGAAGGAAAAGTCGGTGTGGTAAACACCAAAAGAAGAAGAGAAAGTGGGTAGGCAGTGCATCCAAAAGACCAAAGTGTGATATGAGTTTCCATTTATATGAAGCAGCCAGAACAGACGATTCCACAGAGACGGAAGGCAGATTAGGGGTTTCTGGGGACTGGGAGGCACAAGGAGAGCCATCGCTGAATGGGTTCGGGGTCTCCTTTTGGGAGGATGGAAATGTTCTGGAACCAGATAGACGTGATGATTGCACAACATTGTGACTGTGCTAAATGTCGCTGAATTCTGCACTTTAAAAGGGTGAATTTGGGGGCTGGCCTGGTTGCATAGTGGTTACCTTCACATGCTCTGCTTCGGTGGCTTGGGGTTCACAGGTTTGGATCCCAGGCACAGACCTGCACACCGCTCATCAAGCCAGGCTTTGGCGGCATCCCATATAAAGTAGAGGAAGATGGGCACGGATGTTAGCCCAGGGCCAATCTTCCTCAGCAAAAAAGAGGAGGATTGGCAACAGGTGTTAGCTCAGGGCTAATCTTTCTCACCAAAAAAAAAAAAAAAGGGTATAATTTTGTGCCATGGGAATTTTGCCTTAATTTAAAAAAATATCGAGACAAAAATAAATAAGATACAATAATGAGATCTCCTTGGACTTCAGTTTTCCAGCCACTTCCATGAGGATACCGGGAGCTGCCCCATAGGAGGTGTGTGAGAGCTACATGACTGAGGTGTGGAACGTGCCTGGCTTGGCAGCCCCGGGCGCTGGATATATCACAGCCCAGATTATTTCATGCTGCTCCCCAATACTCCCCAGGAGGGTTTTTTGCAATCTTTGGCAAGAGCACTCTGATATGACTAACCGTTTATTTAAAACAGCAACCCTGGTGTTGATGGCAGTGCATGTCACAGTCATGTCAAGCCACTCTGGGGCACTGGATAACTTGGGTTTTTTTTTTTTGTTTTTTTTTTTAAGTAAAGTTTGCAGAAGTTGATGGTGTTGCTCCATCACGATGAGCAGGAAGAAGCAAGTGGGAGTTCAGTGCAGAGGAAGCCGAATGGGGAACTGTCTGGCCGAGGGCAAATTTCTGTACAGTATTTGTGGGTGTCATGATCCCTGTAAGGGGGTCTGCACCCATGGGCACCTGCAGGTCTGTCTGCGAAGCAGGTGCGATGGGAGGCTCTAAGAAGAAAGAGAGCAGTGGACCCAAGAAGCTTACGGGGCAAATGGAAAGATGGGGGAGGCAGGTGCAGCAGCCGCAGACAGCTAAGCTGTCTCAGAATGGGGCCCCTTCCTGCCGTCCCCCTCCTCATCCAGGGCAGCTCAGCTCGAAGAGCAAAGACTCTTTGACAAATTGCAGGTGTGAAGAGCAGGACAGAGGAGGGGGGAGAATAGCAAAGGGGAACTGTGCATCCGGCAAGAGCCAGGAAGGACCCTCCCCTGGAGCCTCTGCGGGGACCGTGGCCCTGGGACACCTTGATCTCAGACTTCTGTTCTCCAGAGCTGGGAGAGGATGAATTCCTGTTGTTTGAAGCCCCCCAGTGCGGGGTGCTTTGCGAGGGCAGCCCCAGGAGATTCGTACACACGGGCATGGGGAGAAGTGCACCGAGAGAAAAAATGATGGTCCCAAAACCCTAATGGCCAGAAGAGGGGATCAGCCATGCAGAACTGGGGTTCTCCCCTTATTAGGATGGTCTGGGGAGCTCCATCTGCAACCAGAGCTCAGGGTCCCCCAGACCTAATGCAGCATGGGGGCCCCCCCAGTGCAGAGAAGCCCCAACAAGGCCTGGAGGGAGGCTGGGCGGGGCAGGGTGCAGCTCGCAGGTGGAGGAAGCAGGCGGTTCCTCATCGCGGGGGATGTGAGACGGGTGGGAGGCGGGGAAGCTGGGATGTCTCTGGTCCGGGGTGGTTTTTATTCTCTCTCCGATAGCAAGTGAAGTTCTCTGTGGAGGGTGGGCTCAGGGAGGTCGGAAGGTGGGAATCTTAGGCTGGACAGTGCTCCCCAAGTGCACTCCAGGCCAGGTACACACACCTGAAGTGGGAGGTGGTTAGACTCTCCACCGTTGGGCTGAAGGTCCAGGGGGAGAAGGGGCTTTGGAATTTAGACAAAAGCCAGTGGACCCTCCACTACACAGGGTGGAAGGGAAAGGAGGCAGGTGGGTGGGGAGAGAGGGGAGAATTCACAAAAAAGGTGCAGGGGAGGTCCGAGAAGAGATGGCTGGGGTGTGAGGTGAGGCGGGGCCGGAGGCTAGCCTCCTGCTAGAGGAGGCTCAGCAGACTGGGACCTGGTGGGTCCATCGTGAACAGGCCTCCGAGAGGGGGCAGTCTAAGGGGATTGGGCATGTCAGGTGGACGTGGGGTGAAGGGGAGGGTCTTTGCCAACGGAGATGGCTCATGAGGAGTTGGGAGGTGCCCCATAGACACCAATGTCAGCCAAGGTGACCCAGGCAAAGGGCTTTCAGCCTGGAGTGGAATCTCTCGGAGAGTGAGAGCCAAGGCTCAGAGGTCTGTGAGTCATCAGAGGGTGGAGGGTGCTGGAGGTGGGCAGGGGGCCTTGACAGAGGGTGGAGGAACCCCTTCGGGGGGCTCGCGATGGAGCCTGAATGTGCTGAACTGCACACGCGTGAGAGGGATAAGCTCTGTCCTCAGGCTGGAGCCGAGCTTCAGCCGAGTCTGGCAGAGGGAGAATGAGGGTCCGTGAAGACAGGCGGGAGCTGTGAGGACGAGGAGATGGAGGTCTGAGGGGCAGGCCTGGTGGGTGTGATGGCTGAGAATTCCCAAGAGGAGATACAAGACAGGATTAAGTGGGGAAGGAGCTGATGAGGGAGATGCCTATGAGGGAGGAAGGAGAGGGCGAGGGATGGCAAAAGGGATGGAAAGAAAGAAGGATGAGAGGGAGGGAGGGATGGAGGAAGGAAGGAAGGACGACAAGTCACAACAAAAGAATCAACACAACCAAAGATAACACAAGGAAAATGAGAGGCAGACCCCAAGATGCCACCCCAAAACCAAACTAAGGATGAGGTGTTCTCTGTTGAGCGTGTCTCTATCTGAATTGAACTCTTTGCTCTTGTTCTTAGCTTTTTTAAAAAAATTTTAATTGACTTTATTTTTAGAGCAGTTTTAGGTTTACAGAAACACTGAATGGAAAGTACAGGGGATTTCTGTATGCCTACTTCCTTTTGCACGGTTTCCCCTATTATTAACATCTTGCTTTGGCATGGAATGTCTACTATCATGGACGAGCCAACAGTGATGCATTATTATTCGGTAAAGTCCACAGTGTGATTTAGGGTTCATTCTTGGTGTTCTGCGTTCTATGGGTTTGGACAAATGTATGACGACGTGAATCCACCCTTATGAGATCACACAGAGTAGTTTCACTCCCCTAAAGTCCTCTGTGCTCTGTCTGTTCATCCCTCCCTCCCCCAACCCCTGGAAACCACCCATCTTTTCACTGTCTCCATAGTTTTGCCTTTTCCACAATGTCATAGAGTTGGAATCATATATTACGTAGCCTTTTCAGATTGGCTTCTTCCACTTTGTAACATGCACTTAAGTTTCCTCCACGTCTCTCTGTGTACTAATGCCTTTTATTTTCCTCTCTCTCGTCTTTTCTTTTTTTTTTTTTTTGTACTTACCCTTTTTAATTGTTGCAAAACTCAAGTTTAAAAAAAGTCAAAAAATTGTTCATACCATAATGGAAACCTGATGCGTCATTTCTTGTTGTATTCCCCCCAAATCCACTCTGATTGTTAAGAGACAGTCAGAGCAGTAAGAAATTTTTAAAAGTGGCTGCAATTGTCCTCAAAGCCTCTTAAAGTCACTGTGAGGCATCAGCCATGGCTTCAGGGTGCACCTGAGTGACGAGCCTGTCAGGCTAGATACGAGACAGACGAGTTGATTTATAGGACCAAACCACGGGATGCTGGTAATTCCCCAGCCACGCCATGTGAGAGAGACCCCTTTTCAGTTTCTCTCTCGGGAACTTGATTCTGGAGAAAAGAGAAGCCAGCGGGTGGGTTCCTGGTCTCTCGGTCGCATGGGCTCTGGTGCAGGTGGCGAGCCAAAACCATTCTCTGGAAGAGGAATTGGGAATCAGATTCACTGAGAAATGGAATCTTAGCCTGGGGAAGGGCGTGGTGAGTCGGTGCTCCGTCCCAGAACTCGGGCCAAGAGGGAAGGACGTGTCCTTGAGGCCACGTTTGTGGGCCAGACAATGATTCACAGCCCAGCAGCCTGGGCTCAACCCCGTCTGTCTGTCTCCTCTGTTCTTGGGTGCAGTTCATCCCTCTCAAGTGGGTACCACCCCTAGACTCCTCTCTAAGCCCCGAGGAGTGGATCTTGGTACCTGTGGTGGGCTGAATAATGTCTCCAAAGATGTCCACGTCCTAATCCCCGTGTGGTAGACAGAATAATGTCTCCAAAGTTGTCCACGTCCTAATCCCCGTGTGCTAGACACAATAATATGCCCCCCAACATGTCCACATCCTAATCCCCAGAACCTGCAGTGAATATGTCACCTTATATGGCAAAGGGACTTTGCAGAAGTGATTAAGTTGAGGAAATCGAGATGACGGATGCTCCTGGATGATCTGGTTGAGCTCATCACTAGAGCCCTCGTCAGGGAGAAGCAGCAGAGTCAGAGACAACGACACAATGGCAGAAGCAGAGATTGGAGGGATGCACTTTGCAGATGGAGGAAGGGGCCGTGAGCCCAGGAAGGAGGCGCCTCCAGGAGCTGGAAGAGACCAGGAAACAGATGCTCCCCTGGAGCCCCAACAGGAACCAGTCCTGCGACACCTTGATTTTAGCCCAACGAGACGCTGGTCGGCCTTCTGCCCTCCAGGACTATTACAGAGTAAATCCGTGGTTTGTTAAGCCGCAAAGTTTATAGGAATTCCTTACAGCAGCGCGAGGACACTAACACTTTCTTTGGGGGCAGGAGGAGGAAAGACTTCCCGGTTCTGGCTGTGCAGGCACTGGAAGCCCAGACCCCACACTCTCACCCCACCCGTCTGACTTTCTGTCTGTCTTTCTCCCCATTTACCGACACCCCCTCACTGGGTGAGAGCAATCGAGTGATCAGGGTGTTGAGTAAGAGCGTCAGAGAAAAGCAATCTCCCGGCATCAAGATAATGTTGTTATAAACTATTTATTAAATAGTTCATATTTCCATAAATAGAAATGGTTT